GCTCTTGGGCAAATCAGAAGAAAACACTGAAGATTGAAAAGGGCTGCCTTGTAGCAGAAATTGTAGCAGAAAATTTCTGCCTTGCAGCAGAAATTGGAATCCAGTTTGAATACAAATTTTAAAACTGTCGAGACCACAGCCTCATCCCTCCTCAGGAGTACTGCCAAACTTCTGCCTTAAAGCATGGGTGGAGGCTTCTTCTGGAGAGTGTTCAGCTTTTAGTGGTCTTCAATTTCCACCTTCCTTTCCCACCCTGTCAAAAGCACTGCCACACCACATCTACGTATCTAGAGCCAAGTCCAGTGGTCTCATTTGCTTACATGTGTTGTGGTGTGTTTCTCATTAAGTTGTAAATTGGTTCATCTTATGTACCCTTTTGTTGTAATGGTTCTGCCCTCGTTCTCCCTCTCCTTAATTGCCGTGTCAGTATAATATTTCTCCTCCCTGTTACCCTTGACGACCAATGTATCTATTGCTTAATCCCTCCCTGGTGCCCTGTCAGTCACTCGGTGGCCCAACCTTTCCGTCTAGAATCTTCCAGTCAGGGCATCGAGTGATTGGTTCAGGGACCGGGGCCCCTCCGTATGTTTTCTCCTATTGGTTCATCCGTGGTGTTTGTTACCTTCTCCTCACTCCCACCCTTCCATCCATTGGCTGAAGACCGGAGTTTGTGTCTGTACCCACCCCTCCTTATAAACTCACGTCTGACCCCAGTTCGGGGTCTTCAGCTGTTAGTTTCCCCTGGATTAAATCTGGACTGAACTACAGCTGGAGTCCATCTCTTTCTCTCCTGTTGGGTAGCAGCCTTATTCACTGCGGATCCTCGTCCCTCAAGGCGAAAGCCTTAGGCGCTCTCCTGACCAGACCCAGGATCGGGAGAGTGCCCCAGTGCTGCTGGTGGTGGTGGCCGCAGCTACCAGGGACGTTCCGAAGGGGGATCGTCTCCCCACTTCGAGACCCGCTGCCGCTGCATACATGTACTTGGGCTTATCCAGGAAGTACCTGTCCTGCAGTATGCCTCTCTCCTTCCAGCTCCACCACCTTGGACCTGATTTCTCCAGGCTGGCACGCTTTACCTGCACCATCTTCCATGACTTGTCATTGCAAGATGATCTGAAGTTCACTCAAACATCTTTCACTAAATGGTGGCTGTTTGCCATGCAACCCTTATTTCTTTTAGGAGATGTAGAAATCTAAATCTTAAAAACAGTAGGTTAAAAGAATCTTAACCTTATTAATCTTCAATGAGAACACTTTCCTGGACAGGTTTTAGATGTTGTCTGAGGCTTCAAGGACTTTTGTGACCTAAGCTATTTGGTTGTCACTATGTCAGACTTTCCTGAATCACCTATGTCTGCGGGGTGTGGTATTTGTGTCCTGATTTTTCCAGTTGCTCTGTGTTTTTACCTTTAGTCCCCCGTATTCTCTTCAGCTCGCTCTCTGATCCAAGGTCTCTCCATTGTGCCAGCTCAACTTCCCTCTCCTGGTTTTCTCAGCTTGCCTCACTATTCTCTTTCCTTTGGTTTTGTCTGCACTGAAAACACTAAAACTGTCTCACTCCACCTCTGTTGACAAAACTGTTGCGCATACTCATTGATCTTCACGCTTACCCTGACTCACTCCTACTAACAGTGGTTGCAAAACAGCTGTTTTTCTCAATTAAATTTTGATTGGCAATCAGCATCTACCTGTCACTATTACTCAGTTTTCTCCAGTGTATCCTTCAGCTACTTTCTATGCTATTTTTTCACCTGGTTTCCATGAGAGTTATCTCAGTGTATCTCTATCCTGCCAGACCTGTTATTTGGTTCCTGTCAGGAAAGAACAAATAGTTTATTCTCAGGCAATATTTGAGGCTTCAGCTGCTCCAACAACACTTGGAATATGGTGAGATGATGAGAGTCACCTCATCAAAATGTATCCAGGACACTCCATTGTGGCATTGTGTTTTCTGTTAGTTTGCAGAATGGTTTAATCCTCTGTTCCTCCCCTAAGTCCCTCAGAATGGTTGCTTACCAAGTTGTTTAATCCGTTTTTCCTGCCACTGGATTGCCCCTCAAAGTGATTGATCCCCTGTTCCTCCCCTAAAGCCCTTATATGTGTGTGTCAATCCTTATGGTGCTGCCCACCCCCCCTGCCTGTCATTGTAACCACCCCCCTTTCTTTCAAGAAGATTCTGTATCAATCATTCCTAGTCTACTCTATGATTTGTCCCCGAGGCTTCCTCCCTCCCCTGTGCAATCCTCATTGGCTCCATTGTATCTTGTACCCCTCCCCTTACCTTTGCATATTGGCTACCTTATGTTTCTACCGCTTACACCCACTCCCTTTATAAGGGTTTGCCAGACCCTTCCCCCCCTGACCCTGAGTTGGAATAAAGCTTCCTTAGCATTCATAGGAGCGTTCATTCTCTCATTCCTTCAAGGCCTTGAGACTTCGTAGCCTACACCAGTGTGTGTAACCCACACCGCAGACTGCACACTACCTGGGTATTCTCAGGGAGAGAGCCTGGGAGTGGCCGCTCTTGTGGCCCACTCCGCTCACCTGAGGAGCAGCTGATCAGCGCGTCTCTGGTAGCCTACACCAGTGTGTGTAACCCACACCGCAGACTGCACACTACCTGGGTATTCTCAGGGAGAGAGCCTGGGAGTAGCCACTCTTGTGGCCCACTCCGCTCACCTGAGGAGCAGCTGACCAGCGCCTCTCTGCTCCAGTGGCTGCAGTGTGAGCTACACTCCATGTGCTCACATCCTGCTGTACCATAGTAAATGGAAGTCTGTCCCAGAGCACACTGTAGCTGTACACCCAGCTTCAGGTGACAAAAGCTTTACAAATCTACCTCAAATCTTCAACTGTGGCAATGAATAAGAACAGTGGTTGAGAAAACAAGTTGACTTCCTTTCAAGTCTCACCAAACAGCCTGTGAGATGGGCAGCTGGACTTTAGATGAGATCCCTTCCTTCTGATTTGTTGACTGGCCTTGTGAGACCTCCATTTGGAATTTCACTGAGTTGTTCACTTGCAGTTTCACTGAGAGAATGAGAGGGAAGAGAGATGGGGTGCTCTCCTCCAATGGGAGATGTAGCTCCCTGCCATAAAGAAGCAAAGGTCCAAGATTTGCAGAGATCACAACTGAGTCAGCCAGCTGACTGGCAGCCCCTCAGGAGTCAGGGCAGGACATAAATCCTCATGAGTGGCAATAAAGCACAACACGGGGATCTCTCATTGCCCTTAAGGCAATGAAATTGCAACAAATTAAAGATTATGCAATTTGTATGGAAGACATTGCTACATAATGCCATGCTGGATACAGTCTCTGAGAAAATTATACTAAAGGACTATTTACATCACAAAGATCTCGTTCACCACCCAGGAAGAGAATTTTTTAAAACCATTATCTGGCCTTGGCATATCTGAGAGCTCCTGAACAGTAATAGTTCATTTTTTGCCATTGAGTGCATCAAATCTTGTGCACCTACAGCCTTATGACAGCACCAGATTATGTATTTAAAACATGGTGGTTCAGTTGGTTGAGTATCCCTGTTGCAATGAGATGCATGTTTCAGTTCAGCACCTGGTCCAGTTTAGGGAGAGAGTCCTTACACTGTGGAGAGTAAAACACAGCTGGCAGTCAGTATGTAATACTGCTCTATGCAGGTTTGTGAGAAAATACCTGAATTTCAGTTTGTATCTAGCCTGAATGGGAATATATGACATGAGGGCCAGTGGTGTTTGCACCAGCTAAATTGTCTCCAGGTAACCTTGTAAAAATCCAAAGTCCAAGGTACAACCATGCAAACTTGGACATGCTTAGTCAGAGGCTCATATAGCACAGCATGTAATTACTTATAGCATGCATGACAGTGGTGTGAAAAAGGAAAAGTCAAAAACTCCAGTTCTTGAGGAAGACAGTGCATGCATCATCTTTAGCTGTGCTGGAGTAGCTACTATGAGCACTAAAAGCAAATGTGAAGTACTAAGAACAAACATCACCTATTGCAATCTTGTTACCAATACAAAAAATTCAGTAAATTGAGCAACATGTAAAATATAGTAAATTCCCAACTCATTCACCATTTTTTACCCCACCTGGATCAAGAGAAAAGGCCTCAGAGATTAACTCTCAAAATGCTTTATGAAAATAAACAAAAAGATGGCCTGTGCGATCTTTGCTCGTCTCTCTTTTCACTCATAAAGCACTTGTCTGTGAGTATGCTGGGAAGGAGCAGAGGTGGAAGAATGAATAATAGAAGAGGCAAAGGTACTGAGAGGAGAAGAGAAGAGGACTGATAGGCAGGGCAGAGAGACTTGGCAGTTTCCAGATGCAAAGAGTTAAACAAACCTTCTGCATTTGCAGAACAAATGTAGTTTTAGAGTAGATGGCAAATGAGGATGATTTATTGAACTTTAAGCCAGTGTCTCTTTCAGACTGAATGACTGCTGCTTGCAGTCTGACTTGTTTTGACTTGAAATTTCCTACTGTGGTCGGACCAGTTGAAGGAAAGGTAAATGCTAAAACTTGTCCACTGTCTCCCTTATCTTTCCTAAGAAGAGAGAGTATTTTTCTTTTGAAAAATACTCTTGTTCATTCCTTAGATACGCTCTTAGTAATGCTGTTGAATGCCTCAAGGCCTCCAATGAGTCCATCTCCAGGGGTGAGGCTGTGGGAGACAGCTATGACAGAAACAAGGCTGGGATGCCTTGGGAGAACACCTTTGCCCCAGTCAGGGTGACAGGCTCCTAGGATCCCCTGCACCTCTATGTAGATGAGCTTCTGCTCATCAAATGTTGTGCACTCCCCAGTTCCAGTAAGTTCTATGCTTCCAGCTTCCTCATTGGTTCTCTCCAAAAAGTCACACTGCCTCCCCTCTCCCATTGGGCCCACCTGTGTCACCCCTCACTCCTCCCCTAGACCCTCTCCTCATTGGACTGTTTGTAGCCTGACCCCTCCTACCCTTCCTATATGTGCCAGCCTCTCCCCTGCTGATTATTGTTGGCCCCTGGTTTTCTTCTGCGGTGGTTGTGCTCCTGTTTGTTTTCCTCACCCTTGCCCCCACCTGGACCACTGGACCTTCTCCAAATAAACCCTGTTGGATCTACCAAGCCAAGAGTCCTCTTGTGTATCTGGTGAGGCTGTCACTACATTATCCGGGCTCAGGTGTCTGGTGGGCTGGGGGAGTTGTCAAAGCTGCCCGAAGCAGTGATGCTCTCGGTGCTGCAGTCACCCCGACAGCACCTGCCTGGGGAGGCTACTCTGGCCGATCCCACATGAGGCTTCCTGATGGCTATTCCTGGTACACTGAGCATGTGGCTAGTGGCCCAATCAGCACCTGGGGTGGGGGATCCACTAGTTTCACAGGCTGCTTCCTCCAGTCTTAGGTGCTTGATATGTGACTAAGAGCTGTGTATGTCCCAGCCCTAAATTGTCTTTGTCTTCTCTTGGGTCATTATAGGAGGAATCCTGCTGTGAGGAATGCTCCCAGCTCAGGTAAATGGTTGTGGGGGGCATGCAATGCTTTGACTGCCTGGGGGAGCCCTTGGGTTTCCTCAGCTTGGTCCATGTTAGGCAGAGGTAGCACAAACGTGGTCGGATCTCAGAAGCATATATTGCTAACCTCAAAGCAGGAAGAGATAATGCTGACAGCTATGGCAGAGTGGGACATCAAATGCCTGTGCTCAAGCTCCTGGTCCAGGATTTGTGAAGAAAGAAAAGATGGTTTCTAGAAGCAAAGGAGATGCAGAATTGAGGCTGTTCCTACAGGTTTCAATGCCATGAGAGTCACCAAGTCATGCAGTAGGGTATAAGTGTTTGCAAGTGAGGCTTGCCTGAGTTCAGCTGTCTCTTCCACTGGTGCCTGTGTGTTTTTGCTGTCTCTGAACTGATGGATACAAGAGAACAAAACCAGTTGGAGATTTTGAAAAATACCAAGGAATGTGTGGATTTATGGAAGTCAAAGGAGAAGCCAGTGACAGTGGAGGATGAGGTTCCCATTAGCCAGTGGGAGGCAGAGTGCAAGAAGGAGGTCAAGTCTGCCTGCTGGGATCAGCTGAGACAGGACTGTGACAGCTTAGGGTTCTCTAGTGGATGGAAGAAGAAAGGGAAAGGACAGCAGGCAAAGCTAGAGGTTTGTTAGGGAGGGAGATGGTGTTGAGTTGGCAGGTACAGGTGGACTCCTGCATCTGGAGAGGGACTGGGGACTGCCCATCAAAAACCTTGTCACGTGTCTCATTTCAGCAGAGGGAGGATGTTTTCATGGTGCCAGTCACTGTCCTGATAATCTCTCCTGAAGAGGAGGCAGTGGTTGTGCTTCTTCTGAGGCAGTGTCTGTCAGGTACACAGGTAGGCAGTGCAGCACACAGGCATGTGAAATTAGGAGTTCCCTGGGGTGGGGAGAAGAGTTCCCTTGCTCTGGGTGCTCTGCATGCTGGGGATATGACCAACAGTGCCCTTTTCATTGCAGATATAAGCCAAGCAACTGTTGGAAAGAGTAGTGATGACAGGACAGTACCAGGAGACCTAAGTGTTGTACCTCAAATCAACTGTGAGTAGCAGAATCTCCAGATCCTGGGATGATTTTTGTTGGAAGAGACTTTTAAGAATATCTAGACCCATTGCCTGCCACGAGAAGGTACACATTCCACTAGACCAAGTTGCTCCAAGCCCTGTCCAGCTTAGCCTTGAACACCTTGCAGGGTTGGGGCAGCCACAGCTTCACTGGGCAACCTGTGCCAGAGCCTCCCAACCCTCACAGGGAAGAATTTCTTAAAAGCCTCTAATCTTACCCTGTCCTCTGTCAGTGGGGAGCCATTTCTCTTTGTCCTGGCACTGTATGGCCTTGTTTAAAGTTCTTTTCCAGCCCTCTTGGAGCCTTTTTAGATACTGAAAGGTTGTTAAAGGTCTCCCTGGAGCCTGCAATTCTCCAAGCTGAATAACTCCAACTCTCTCAGCCTGTCTCCATAGCAGCGGTGCTCCAGCTGTTGGATCATCCTCGTGGCCTCCTATGAATGTTCCAGATCCCATCCAGCCTTTTAGTGTTCTTTCGGATGCTGTCAGCTAGTTGACTTGTAGATAACAAGATGTGTCTCCCACACATAGCCCAGTAAACTTTCTAGAAAAACTCCAGATACAATTATCTGTTGAAGTGCACTGCTTATTTAACTTGGTACTGTGGACAAGGAACAATAACTCATAACTCAAACAGAGAATATTATGGTTGTGCAAACTCTAGTGCTTTTATTTACTGGTTGTTACATTGCTACATTTTTTTGAAATTTCATTCGTTCTCTGCTCAGTAACTTCCTGACTTGACCTTAAGAGATTTGTGCCAAATTTATACAGATCTGTGTATTTGTGCATGGCATTACTAGAGAAATCAAAATGCCCACACAGAAATAAGGCAGATGTGAGAGAGAAATATAGAATAGTTGTGGTTCTCCTGCAGTCATGGAGTGGTGGAATGCCACCTAACAAGCTCCCTGGGTGACCGGAGGGACACACGAGAGGCTTTCCCTGAACGTCTTCCGAGGCTTCTCAGTTGGCAGTGCGTGCAGCAGCGTGGCTGACGCTGCAGCAAGTCACCACAAGAATACTGAGATAAAAAGTCAAAGGATAGGACATTCATTTGTAGTCCAAGACAGCATTACTCCAAGGATGGGTGAGGGACAGGTGACACGGAACAGGGAGTCTGGCTAGGGTTTTTAAAGGGAGCTTGCTAGGGGGTGGGAATCTCACACAACCAATGGGGAAACACTTGGGGAGGAGTATCGAGCTTAACAGAACCAATAGGGTCAGTACAGGGGAGGGGAGAAGCCTTGAGGACAAATTAACTGTTAGAACAAGGGTGATTGTCATCAAACATTCTGGAACAAAATGGGTGGCTCTGGGCTGACAGACAAGAGAAGGGGATAGCACAATTAGGATTGACAGGGCCATACAAGGGAAGGAGGGAAGGAACAGGGAGATAGACACACTGAGTGGCAGCTAAGTGTTGGGAAAACTTAGGAGTAAACTACTTGGGAGAAACCATTTTGAGGGGATAAAATGGGGGTACATGGACCAAACCAATGTACTTAACTAACATTGAACCACTAACTTTTACAATAAAACAACTGTAAAACTTACAAAAACATACTGCTACGGGTAGTGACAAAGACAATGCCACTTCATGGAGTTCCTGCTGGTCATTAAGAAGATCTTGTCAAATATATTCTAATCCCAAACAAATCTCATTGATGTTTATGCTTGCTGTGATTCTGAAGCCAACATAGATGTATACACTGACATCTGTCACTGACCTGACTGGTAGCTGTGTTTGGTCCAGAGTTATCTGCCAAGCAGGGGGAAAACCTCCGCCCTGGGAGGATGTTGGCATCACCTTCAGCAGAACTTCACAGAGAAGTGGTCATCAAAAATACACTGAAAAGCCTGAAAACCTTGTTAAAAATCCTAAAATAGCAATATGTTTTGTCAAGTGCAGTCAGGTCTGCTTAATCACAATTTGTTTGCCAACATCCAATTTTATCAGCTAAATGAAAAAAAAAGTCAAAACTTGTTCAAATGTCTTATTAAACTAGTTTCTGCTTTAATCTGTATTGTGCTGAGACAATGCCAATAAAACAAGTATGATTTAACTAGCTCTGACTGTTCTGATCTGACAAGCGCCTTAATTTGGATAATGATTTCTTGGCTATCCATAGAATATTCATGGACTCTACACGATATTCAGCTCTCCATCTATACTTGCCGAAGATTTGTGCTGGAATTATAGGTCTTGTTGCCTGACATGTAGAAGAATAATATTAGTCATTCCAAATACATTTCAGAATAACAAATCAGAATTAAATTATGGTATATAATTCAAACATGTTTTTTGAGACCTTTTAGACTGTTTGTTGTTTCTCCAACAAAGGAGGAAGATTCCTTCTCTCCAAGGGATGGCTGCTAAGGAGCCATATGTGGGACACAGCTCTAAATATTCCTCTTGTGTAGGCCGCTAACTTGATAACCAAAAGCATTTATGGTTGACAAATTTAAATTTTGCACCTCTCTAAAACCAGAAAAACCCATGAACACCAGTGGTTCCAATCAGTATTTTTGTGCTACTCTGTTGCTTGCACACATTTTATGACCTTACCTATCCCAAGTTGTCTTGGGCTGTGTATGTTTTCAAATATCCTTTGAGTCTGCTTACACTAAACAGTAAGAAATGCTAGATGAGGGGAAATATAATCACTCCAGTTTACAGAACTATTTGCAAACGTGGAACACAAATTTTGCCTGCGTTTGGGAACTGGATGGCAAAATTTGATCACTTCGTATTTGACTGTGACAGTGTAATTAAAATAATTTGACTTTTCCTGATTCTTTCTAATCACTGAGAGGTTCATGATTTGGGTTGGAAAGGATCTTAAAGATAATCTAATTCCAGCTCCCTTACCTTCCAGCAGGGATATATTCTACTAGATGAAGTTTTCAAAGATCCACCCAACATGGCCTTTAATACTTCAGGGATGGTGTGTCCACGCTTCTGGTCAACCTGTTCCAATGTGTCACCACCTTCACAGTAAAAAAAATCTTTCCTACCATATAATCTAAAGCTGTCTTCTTTTAGCGTAAAGCCATAGCCCTTGATCTATCACTATCTGCCTACTTCAAAAGTAATTTTGCCCATATTTTGTATATTCCTTTCAAGTACTGAATGGCTGCAGGGGTCTTCATGGAGGCCTCTCTTCTTCATGTAAAACCCCAACGTTTTCAGTGTGACTTCACAGGAGAGGTGCTCCAGCTCTGTGATCATTTTTGTGGCATTCTCTGGACCTGCTTCAACACGTCCATGTCTTTCCTGTGCTGTGACCCCAGAGCTGATGCAGCAATGCAGGTGTGGTCTCAGCCGAGCAGAGGAGCAGAATCCCCTCCCTGGCCCTGCTGTCTGTGCTGCTCTGGATGCACCCCACGACACATTTGACCATCTGCACTGTGAGTGCCCACAGCTGGGTCATATCCAGCCTCTCATCCATCAGTACTCCCAGATGCTTCTCTGGAGGACTGCTCCTAATAAGCTCTTCTCCAGGCTGTAGGCTGTATGTGAAGACTCAGGGGCCTGCCATTGGGGCTGTAACACCTCAGTTTGGGAAGGGCAAATACAAGCAAGGACAAACACCCCTCTAAGGGTAGGGTAAAAAGAGCCTCCCTCCCACAGGCCTCTGCAGGCACATGTTAATATTTTAAATTCTGTTGGCTTCCCAGTCAACCTTGTTCAGCCCCCTTTACCATACTTGTATCCCCCTAGAATGCTCTCCCCTCTCTTGATCCCTATTGGCCCCAGTTTGCCACAGTGTTCCGCTCCTGTTATCCCATTGGTTCCTCTAGTCTGCTTCCCCTCCTTTGCAGCATTTTGCCCTGGTCCCATTGGCTCTTGACCCTCAGAGCCACCTGTTTCTCCCAGTATTTATTCCTGTGCCCTCCAGCCTGTTGTGTCTGTCCCTTGATGCTCTTTGTGGTAGTAAATGGGTTTTGCCTCACCACACAAAGAACTGTCCCTTACCTCCTTTTAACAAGCATGCTCCTGACCCCGAAAGCAGAGGTTACTCTCTGGGACTTGTTGAAGTGCACCGCTTTAGCTGTGCTCATGTCTGGTATTGCCTCAGCCCAGGTGCAGAACCTTGCCCTTGCCCTTGGCCTTGGAACTTCAGGAGTTTCTCATAGGCCCACTTCTCAAGGCTGTCTGATGCCTTTGGAAGGCATCCTATCTTTCTGCAGTGTCATCTGTGCTGCTCAGCTTCCTGTCACTGCAAACGTACTGAGGGTGCACGCGGTCCCAGTGCCTCTGACACTGATGAAGATACTGAAGAGCCTGAGTCTCAAGACAGTCCTGAGGGACACCATCATCACTGGCCTCCATCTGGACATGCAGCCATTGACTGCAGCTCTCTGGCTGCATCCAGCCAGCCAGTTCCTTATCCAATGAACAATCCATTCTTCAAATCCACATCTCTTCAATTTTGGCATAAGGATGTCTTGTGGGATGATGTCGAAGGCCTTACAGAAGTCCAGGTATAGGACATCACTTGGTATTGGCTAGTTTATCTTGTACACTCCTAGCTGCTGCAGTGTCTGCTGTGGCCCTGATGGATTTAAATGGAAGTGAGTCAACATTTCTTGTTGACAGACTTTTTTATAGCATCAAAGCTGGTCGCCTCAGTAGTCTGTCTCTAACATGCCATCAAAACAACTGCATGAGGTATGTGGATGCTGTTGTTGCTGTGAGCCACAACTCAGCTGGCAAGGCCTGGACTGAGAGAGGAGTGGGCTGTGCTGGGCAGTCCTCACCACAGCTGTGCCTCTGAAGCTGAGCTTCAGGTGAAAGAGTCGTTTCCATGTTTTGTTGTTGTTGTTGTTTTCTTCTTTTTTGTCTTTTTTTTTTTCTGTTGAGAACTAGGTCCTAGCACTAGGCATACTATTACAAGGTTAAGCTATTACAGTGCAAATAAACTATTTTATACAGAATCTTATTGGGAAAATATACTTTTTCTCCCTCATATCACTCCAAAGAATTTGAATTCAGGAAATTTAGGTTTTCCCAAAACTTGTTGTGTCAGTTCTCTTTTAAGTGGGGGGTGCCTTTATACATAGAGAAGTAAATGATCAAAAGATTACTGTGTACTGTTTTGAAATTTACTTTAAAGGAAAGAAAGTTTATCACTTGAATATGGACATATGAGCAAGCAGCTCCTATTCACAAACCATGTATGGTGCTTGATTTTTCCAACAGTTACAGAAGGTAAATTTACTAGGTCTTGATTTTCACTGTGTTTCTTCCACTGAAGACAATGGAAAAACCCTTTCATTAATTTTATGGAAACATTATTTGGCCCCTAGTGACTCTACTTCTGTCTTTTCCCCACATTTTCCTTTTGAAAAATGATACATCCTGAAAAATAGCAGCTTGACTAAGGCTGGAGAAAGATTTAAAAATTAATAGAGAGAACTGTTGCTTACATGTGACTGTACACAGCTCTGACTTCGACTCGAAAAGGAATCTGATGGTAAACCCCCCTTTTTTCCATAACGTGTAGATATGTCCAAGTAGCGAACTGTGGCTGATACTTGACTTTCCCTTGGGGTTGGCTGCCAAGCTGCAGCACTAACCAAATCCCTGCCTGGTCTCCACAGGGTTTTACCTAGCACTTTCTGTGTAATACTGTCCTGTTTCTGGAAGAATTTAATGACCTATGCTGCTGTCAGCCACTCTAAGGTCTTAGAGAGCAGAGCTGCCTGTCTCAAACACATTTAAAGCCTCAGAAGGACTTTGCTGTCAGATAAGCACAGAAGGGAATGAAAGGCCATGTTTTTAAGGAATAGAGTCCTAAGCTCTCTATCTCCTCTATACTCTCTTTTTTGTATTCCTGCCTTTCCTCTCCACCCATCCTGGACTCCATAACCTTTCATCTGTCTCCAAAGGTGCCATCCACCATTTAATTTAAAAGTTAGTAGCTTTGCATTTGTGTGCTGAGTCATAGCTGAAGTCTGACTCAGGTCCTCCCAGAAAGCTGACCATGGAGTGTTAGAGCATTTCTTCTCTCTCTCCCAGCAGTCCACACCCCCACAAACATACCCCACCAAAACTCAGGATTTAGGCTCCCATGGTCATTGAACTTTCATCTGCTTCCGCTGCATGAAATTGTCAATTTCACTACATGCTTTCAGCCTCCAGCATCGGGTTGTAAGCTTTCTTTTGTCATGTCACTACTGTCAATGCATCAGTTGAAAATATGAATATACGAAATATGTTCAATCCAGCTAGCCTAATCCTGTGCTGCAGTGACTAAGGAAAAGCCTCCTTCCAACAGATTGGCTACCTGGGGCTGTAGCAGAAATTATGTCTCTTTCCTCTACTTATTTTCTTCCTATTCTCATTCACTGTTCAGACTGAAAAGTTCTCTCTGCCTGTCCTTATACTTCCAACTTTTCTCTGCTAATGTGTATTGACTGCTGGCTCCATTGAGCATCAGCCATCCATGCAGGCTGTCAGGTGAGGTCACTTCCTTCCTCTGCTGCACCACTGCCCAGGCAATCCACTGCTGACTGCTATGTGGCTTGGACAGAGCAGCTCTGCAGTAAAAGATTTCACTGGAGAGTTTGTGGCATACCCATGGCTATGGGGAAGCAAGTGCTTGGATGGCAGTGCCAGGGTTTAGGATAATGGGTGAAATCACCCCACCTCTGCAGCCCCAAGGCATGTAGCACCTGTCCTGCATCACAAGCATGTGAGGCACTAAGCAGAAATGCAGCAGAAATTGTGCACTACATCCTGCAATAAAACACAGCCAACAATAAAACTACACATGGATGGGAGAGGCTCTCACTGGAGGGCAAAAGACAGAAGGTGTGTAACTATTATGCTACACTTTGGACATTAAAATAAAAGCACGTTCTGACAATGACAGTTATTTCATGTCTTGACAGGTAAAATAAATGATATTGATAATACACAGAAAGAAAGAAACGGGCCCACAAG